CGCCTCAGGTCCCAGCTCACAAGAGACCAACGCCAAGTCCACTTTATTTACAAAAGTCTTTATTGAAGTACATTGTTTGTTCCACAGCCGAGGCGCGCAGCCCCACGTCTGTTACGCTTAGACCGCTGTAGTCCCCTCTGAATCAGTCCCGCCTCTACACCAGTTTAAGAGGCTTGTGCTAGTCCACCTCTTCCTGTCCTTCCTTTTCCGCAGGGTCTTTCTGCCCCCCTGGGTTCCTTCCCTCCTGCTTTCCTCTGACGCTGAGTCCCCAGACGCCTGCTCCCTCCGTGCTTTGGGACCAGGCTCCTCCTCCGGGCTCTCCGCATTTCCGCGCACCTCCACATTTGAACTTGGCGCGCGTTCGCTACCCCTGACCTTCCTCTTGACAGTTATACTACTCTCTGTACTACTCTCCGCCCCTTCCGGCAGGACGCCTTGCCCCGATCTCCTTCCCCTCTCTGCTTCCTGCTCTGCTCCGTGTGTCACACTGGGAACTCCACCCTCTTCACTCCGTTCCGGCTGGGAAGCCGGCCCCGATCTCCCACTCCCACTCGGGGTTTCCCTGCTGCTCCCCTGCTCCTGACGAGTCCCCCCTGTGGCTCCCCTTGGCCTGACCAGGGGCGCCCCCTTTTGGGAATCCTCCGATACACTTGAGAGACTCATGGAAGCCCTCAAGTCATTGTCATCCTCCTCCTCCTTGTTCCTGGATTCTTCCCCCTCGCTCTCAGTCTCCTCCCTCATCTGTGCCTCTCTCCCTCAACCCCTGACACAGCCAAATTTAAGGCAGTATATGTGGCCCAAAAACTGCATGTGGGTTTTAACAAATCTGTGCACTTCTAAATTGCACTAACTAGCTCAGAATGTATATCTTATAAATGTCAATCTCATTTATCTGTTTGGACATATTGTATATATTAATAGATAGGTTTAAGTTGGGATTGAGGGATTATTTTATTGTTAATGTGAGCTGATTATGTTTCTTTTTACTTAGTATATTTGCAATATTAATTTACAAAATACTTAACACTTTTTATGATTTAGGAAGCATTAACTTGGCAGGTAGGGTGTATATGTGAGAGTTTCTATCTCCCCTTATCTTCTCACTTCACTCACCAACGCTACCTACCCCACCCTTAGACCTTGCTAAATGGTACTGTCAGGGGTTCAGGAGCAGAGGCGAGGGCAAGGGAGGAAACAGAGAGCGAGGGGGAGGAGTCCGAAGAAAGGATGAGTGATGACGACGACCCGAGATCTCCGAGTCTTTCCAGTGAATCGGAAGATTCACAGAAAGGAGCACCAGTGGCCAGAGCAAAGGGGGGGGCCTAGGGGGACACCCCAGGAGGAAGGGACCAGCGGGGGTTCAGAGGGCAGCAGTTGGAAATCGGGGCCAGCGTCCCCACCAGAGCGCAGTGGAGAGGAAGGACGTCAGGGATCGAGCCCTGGCAGCTCGCAGCAGGGAGGAGGGCATGAGTCAGGAGTGACCACACCCCCATCGGGGAGCGAAGAAACGGTCAAGCGGAAAGTGGAAGGCTGGGCGCGCGCGCCAAGTTCAAATGCACAGGAAGGCGGCGCAGTAAGCAGCCCGGAAAGGGAGCCAGGTCCTAAAGCCCGACGCAAGGAGACAGGAGGGTCCGGGGGGTCAGCGTCAGAGGAGTCCCGGAGGGAGGAGACCACGGGGGGCAGAGGGACCCAGAGAAGGACGGTCAGGCGGAAAAGGTGGAGTAAGGCGAGGATATTAAGTTGGTGTACGAGGGGCGGAGATTCAGACGGAGCTTCGCCGGTCTAGCCATAAGACGTAGAGTTGCATGCAGCAGCTTGGAAATGGAAACTGTAACTCAATAAAGACTTTTATAAAGCGATCGCTGGCTAGCGTGATCCTCTGTGAGCTGGGATCGGGGAGCAGCTTTGACAGTAAGCTCCGTCTCACGTTCCTGTGGGCATCGAAAGCCTAGCGGAGAGGAGAGAAGGCTGGTGCCTACTCGAGAGCTCACGAACGGCAGACAAGATGACGGCCGAACAACAGATAGCGGATCTCAGAGAAGCAGTGACACAACTGAATGCCGAGGTACTTGCATCCAGGAAGAGAGAGGAGGACGCAGCTGCCGCCTACAGAGATCTCCAGGTCAGATTGGAAATGCTTACGAAGCAAGGGCAACTGACACCCAGACCGGAGGGGATTGGGTTGGGGAGACGAGCAGGCGGTCTAGTCTCTCACTTCGATGGGAATTTGCAACAGTACCCCAACTTTAGAGCAGATGTAAAGTGTGCACTGCAACTGCTGGAAAAGGACTTTAGAGATGAGCAAGAGAAGGTGGGGTTTATCATGTCCCATTTGCATGGAGATGCTAAAGCATGGCTGCGCAATTTGTGGAGAGATAAGGATCCGGCGCTCCAAAATGCGGATGCCTTCATTAAAGCGATGGATGGGTGCTTCTTATCAAGCATAGATGTGGATCTTGCCCGGAAGGAGGTGCATGGACTTAAGCAGGGGAGGGCCAGTGTACGGCAGTATCATGCCCGCTTTTTTGCATTGGTCAGTGCCCTGGAATGGGACAGAGATTCGGCGCCAGTCAGAGACCTGTTTTGGGAAGGCTTGAGCGGCCCGGTTAAGGACGAAATTGCGAGGGGGGAGAGATCCCGGAGCACGCAGGAGATCGTTCAGAGGGCGCTCGCAGTTGGGGTCCGTCTGGAGGAACGTCCTTGGGGCAAGGACGAAGGGCGTGGAGGGCGCGAACCAGCCAGAGGCTACTCCTTCGTTCCCAGAGAAGCAGCGCGTGCGCAATCCACGCCTCCGCCAGGAGGAGGAGCAGAACCTATGGAGGTTGGCGGTGCAAGGGCTCAGTCAGCAACCAGAGCCCTAGCACCGGGAGCAGTGAAAGCAAAGCCTCCTAGAGGGAACCGGAAGTGCTACATCTGCGACAATCCCCAGCACATGGCGAAAGAGTGTCCCCAGAGGCTCCACAAGCACACTGCAGCCTCAGCAATGGTAACTGCAGCGACTCAGCAAGGAGAACCACAGCAGGGAAACGAAGGAGTCTGGCTGGAGACAGAGGCACTGGGGCCCAGCCAGACGTGTCAGTGAAGCAGTCCCCAGAGATGTTGCAACCCACAGACCCCCTCCCGCCCAAACCAGTAGTGCGGCTCACCGCATCGCTCCAACTACCCAATGGACTCACCATCACTATTGACTCAGGAAGCAATGCGGACTTTATAGGGCAAGACTTTGTCGACCAGCACGATATACAGTTGCTGCCTGCCACACTGCCACACTGTACTTCTCCACGTAGCACAGAGTTAAGCGATGGAACCTGCTGCCACAGGAAGCATTGATGGCCACCAGTTGGATGCATTAAAAGGATTAGAAAAATTCATGGAGGATAAGGATATGATGGCTATGTTCTGTCTCCATAACTGAGTGGTAAAGGTAAAGGACCCTTGGATGGTTAAGTACAGTTAAAGGCAACTATGGGGTGTGGTGCTTGTCAGAAGAAGCCAGTCTTTGTCCACAGACAGTTTTCCAGGTCATGTGGCCAGCATAACTAAGCCACTTCTGGCACACAGAAATGCAGTTTACTTTCTCACTGCAGTGGTACCTATTTATCTACTTGTGCTGGTGGGCTTTCGAACTGCTAGGTTGACAGAAGCTGGGACAAAGTGACAGGAGCTCACCACCATCGTGTGGATTTGAACTGCTGACTTTAAGCCCAAGAGGCTTAGTGGTTTAGACCACAGTGCCACCCACGTCCCTATAACTGAATACAGCAAAAGTAATTGGTATGCTTCTGAATACCAGTTGCTGGAAACTGCAGCAGGAGAGATTGGTGTTGTCCTTGGGTCCAGCTTGCAGAATTTCAGCAGGCATCTGGTTGGCCACTGTGAGAACAGGATGCTGGACTAGATGGACGTGGTCCAACAGGTCTTGTGTGCCATACAGCCTGCCCCACATCCCCTAAAGTAGTCAGCTGCCCTCAGGTATGGTGGAGTAGCTGTCTCATAGCCTGTGTTAAAGTAAGATCCAGCTTCTGTGCTTCAAATGGGGCAGCGGTGTGGGTGTGTCATCTTGCCCTGTGCCTCAGGCAGCAGAATGTCTTGAAGTGGCCCTGCTCCTTGAAGACAGATGATGCATGTGATGCTGAAGCAGACTCTAGCTCAGGAAAGCTTATTCTACCATAGAATAAAGGTGCCCCAGGATTCCTTGTTGATTTTACTGCAATAGACTGAGACCTCTCCTCTGAAATTTGTCACAATATGACAAATTTGCATCTGTATTCCTGGACAGCTGAAAAAAGCAGACCTTGTTGGCATCCGTCTGTTTCAAGACACAATGGAAGAGTGCGCCATCAGGGGTAAAGTCATACCACTGGAGAATGACAATTCCTGTTGTAGCTATAGAGACCAATAAGGGATAGACATGTTTTATTGCAACTGGGGCAGATGAAGGCGTCCAGATTTGCTGTTAGAGATGTACCATGGTGTTTCTTCTCTCTGTACTCCTCTCAGTAGTTATTCTGTAGTCACTGGTGTGGATACACAACCTGTAGGGTTAATGTTGCCAACTTTCATGTCACAATTGCAGACATCTTTGTATCACAGAGTTGGTCTGTCAACAGGTTTGGTGTCTGAAGCCAGCTCCCCACAAAGCACATCCCTGGGGATCCTGCCATCTGCCGCTCTGTGTACATGACCAAGCCAGCATAGAGGTCGCTGACACAAAAGTGCAACCATGCTGGGAATGTGAGCTTGGGAGAGCTCATCTAGACTATGTCCTGCCATGTGATGCCCAAAATCTTCCTGACAGCACATATGCAGACCGCACTGAGGCGTCCTTCCTCTGAAAATACAGCTGGTTATAAGTTATAAGTAAGGTAGCACGGCATGAATCACTTATCCACATTTCTTTGAACAGCACAGGCAGAGATTGCTCAGCAGAGAACACACCTTGGGGCATTCCGCTCCCCCCTCCTCTTTTACCTTCCCTGAGCTCCGCCCCACAGCGCAGTCGGCTCTTGCGATTGGTTGGGACGACGCCGAGAGCCTATCCTCAGCTGACTCAATAGGAACCAGCTCTTGGGGTTTTTTATTTCTTTATTTTTTGCAAGAGTTTCAGTTTAGGCAGAAAAACCTGGAGAAATCAGGGCGCTGGAGCAGGGCTGACAAGAGGAGAAGAGAAGCGGTGGTAAGGTGCAGGAAGAAGAGGCGCAGGAAGAAGCGTGGATTAAAAGAGTTAAAAGAAGACAAGGAGTTAAACGAAGAGGCGAAAAGGAGAAGGAAGAGGAGGGTCTGACGAGCAAGGCTGCAACTGCTGTAGCAGGGACCACGTTTCCTGCGCTTTTGGAGATAAGCGCAAAAAGGCGCAAAAAGAGGGAGCCTTTTGTGGAAAGTGGCAGCCCAGGAGCAACCCCAGGAGTTAAGGGGCTGCTGGGTCTGGGGTTCCCCCCACCCCGAGCTGCAACATCTTGGAGGCACGGATCGCCACCAGCTGGCGCTGTTCGTGGCTGGCTGGGTGGGCGAAGAACTCATTTGCACATTGACCGCCCCGCTGGTTTGCCCGAACCCTTTTTTGCAAGGTATTTTTTTAAATAAAGGGAGTTTTGGTAGGCAAGAAAACGCGTCGAAGAACTCGTCGAAGATGAGACAAGATGTCTGACAAAATGTCTAGCTTTCTGTACATCGGGGATATCGTCTCCCTCTATGCCGAGGGCTCGGTGAACGGCTTCATCAGCACTCTGGGGTAAGGATTGTGTGAACGGGAGGATCCCGCCTCGGCGGAGGGATGCGCGGGTGCGGGTGCGCGCGCCTTTGGTTACCAGCGCCTTGCTTTTAGAAGACCTTCCCTGTGCGCTTCTTGCAGTCCTTGTTTACTTTCGATTTCCTGGGGAGCTACCGCTGTTCAGCCTTCTTTGACTTTGAGAGAAAAAGGACACCAAAGTTGTAAGGCACAGGAAGCAACAGCTGGAGAGGAATGGGCAGCGGCCGCAACCCTAGCACTGAAGCTTCTGCTATTGCGCGGCGTAAAGAGAGGAAGAGAAAAAAATGTAGGAAATTATTTTAAGAAGCCGGGTCTCTTAAACTTCGGGCAACTTCGCTGCGTGCAGCCGTAACCGCGCGCTGGCCCAGCTGAAAGTGAGAGCGGCGGCGATCTAGCCAAAAGAAACAGCAATTTTAAGACGCATTTGTATCCGTGGGAAAGGGGTTGCAGTGCAGTTTTGTCCACGTCTCCCTGTTGAGTTCAGTGAGACTTACCTCTAAGTGAAGTGGGTTACATAGGATCGCAGCCTTAAGCAATGTGCTCAATTTTGCCAGGGATCAGTGAGATTAAAGCGCTTACCCTTGTACACTTGAGCCTATGAATGCTTGCCGGAAGTAAGCTTCGCTGCTTACTTCCCAGTAAACACGCACGAGACTGTCATTTCTTATTTTCCCGCTGCTGCTGCAGTACTGATGGCTAAGCTATTTACTTACTGTTGTAAGTAAATGCTGATACCTTTTTTTGTTGCATTCCGTACATTACCTATTTGAATCTAATAAGCTGCATTAGCTAGAATGTGCATTTGATTTTAAAACGTCCTTTTCAGTTTGTTTATCCCACATTCACAGTGTTCATATGTGTACCCAAATAGCCCAGGAGAAGCACAAAAGTGTCTTCAGTATCATATGTGAAAATATATTTTGGTATCAAAGGAAAACAATAATAATAATAAAAAATAAAAGTGTGGGGAGAAATTGGTCTCATTGTTTTTTTATAGGTTTTGAAAGATCTTATTTTAGCTGCTGCAAACTAAGGGAACTGCAGATTTTTCTTTGCATAGTCAGTTCACATGTGCATGATCACTGACCATAGCATTGTGATGACTTTGCTCCATGTGTATGTCTTCCCATGATGGGAGATACACTTTTTTCTTTTAAAGTAACCCTCTGCTCAGTTCTTTAAACAATAAGCCATTTAAGCATGACCAGGAGCCTGTTCTCATGGATGTTAAAAGTTTATGGACGTGCAGTTTATTCACCCGAGTCAACTGAGGTGCCCGTTTTCAAGCAGGGGGCTTATTGCGTAAACAGCACTTCCTGCTGAGGTTTCTGCTTTCATGCGATTACTAAAACAACGGCTCCTCTCTGCAATAGCTGCTTTTACGATAAGCTTTTCAATCAATCTGCCTGATAATAGTTACCATGGCATAAACCTGGTCCGTAAAAACAAAAAGATAGTCATTATGCCACTGTTGATGTAAGAACTACTTCAAACTTAGTGGTATACTTCATAGGTATAGTGAACAGTGACTACCACAATTTATCCAAGGGAATGTGGGCTGAATAATTGTACTTCATTGAATATTATAGTTGACAAGCCTCCAGGTTTCCACAGTGTAAACTTGCATTGGTTTCCAGGTTTTATGTCACATTTCTGTTCTCATTTTTGTATCTGTTTCTGAATAGGTTGATGCAGATAGTCTCCACAAACAGATGTTCCTGGCCTGTATCACTTGGAATTTCAAGGGGGCTATTGTTGAATGCTTCCCTGTACACACACAAAAAAGACTTTATTCACATAGAAAACTAGATGTCAGGAAGGTTTATAACTTACCCTTTCCCCTAATGTGTTAGTTCTCTATAGGTTTGAATGGGGGACATTTAAAACTGATTTGCAGTCCGAATTTGTGCAGTCTAGGACAGACAAAAGGAGGTACTACTTCATACAGCACATCATAGTTAAGCTATGAGGTACAGTATCACAAGATGTAGTGATGGTTGCCAGCTTGGAAACCTTTAAAATGAGATTAGGCAAGTTGATGGCATGTAATGCTTCCAGTGGCTACTCTTCATGAATACCAATTGCTGCGGAGCAGGAGACTGCTGTTGTGGTCCTGTCTGCTTGTGGGTTCTCCATAGGCATCTGGCTGGGCCCTGTGTGAAGACATTACTGGGATAAAGAGTCTTTGGTATGACTCAATATGGCTGTTGTTCAGTTTTATTGCATGATCTCAGTTAATGACTGCAGTGGGCAGTAGCCGCCCAGAGTGGCTGGGGAAACTCAGCCAGATGGGCGGGAAATGAATGAATGAATAAATAAATAAATAAATATAATATAATATAATATAATATAAATAATATAAATAATTGCAACTTAACCTTACTGCTTCCTAGAGTTTTGTCTCCCAGTCACCAACTTTCAGTTGATGGGGCGGGGGAAACTAGTCTGGCTGTAACCCTTATTGTGGGGAGTCTGAAATCAGTAATCTGAAAGTGATTGTGTCCCAAAATTAAACTAAAGATTGTCAGATTTATGGTTCTATCCATGTGTTGAATATTTACATGTTATGCTCTCTGCTGCCTTGTGACTTTCTTAGTCATGTCCCTGAGGTGGAATGTATTTTAAAGAAGAGTAGTATTGACTTGCCTCCAAAACAAATTCTTTTTGCTAGAAATAATGTTCTGATTGTGTTATGTACAAAGCATCCTGAAATGACTGTAGGTGATACTTACCGTAAGTTTGTCCCGTTAAAAACAAGACAGTGTAATGTTGCAATCCTATGGAGCAAGTCCTATTGCACATCAGCATAGATAATTCTCAAGTTAATGCATAAGATTGGATTTCATGTTTCTAGCCATGTATTTAAATGAGTTTGGTATTTGGTTTTCATTTTTTTTTAAATGATATTTATTAAAAGTTTAAAGATTACAGAAAAAAGAGAAAAGAAAAAAAAGAAAACAGCAAAAAAATTTAACAAAACATACATTACAATACGTAAAAAAGGGGGGAAAGTACATAAAAACCAATACAACAATACAGCAAAAAAAACCACATCCAATATTCCATATCTTTATCTTTCATTTGCTTGTTTCATCGGCCTCCTCATACCTCCCTTTTTGTGTTCTAGTTTAATTAATTGTTTCAGCAAATTCTTTCCATCTTTCTCAATTTTTGTTGGGTAATTTATCTTAACAATCTAACCTATTAATTAACTCAGCAAGTCCTTTCCATCTTTCACTATATTCTGTCATTCAATTTGCCTTGATTTATTTTAACCTTATCTTACCATAAAATACCTTAAAGCTTAAAACTTAATACTTATTTATACATAACTCCTTATATCATTTCTACTAAAGCCAAATAGTTTCATTCCAACATTTTCCCTAATATTTGTTAATTTTGCACTAATTCCCAAAATATTTTTTTTTAAAAAACTTTCTTCCAATCTTCACCCAACGTCTCTTTTTCCTGGTCTCGGGTTGTGTCAGTCCTTACTGTCCATTCCATCTAGTCCATCAACCTGGTAGTCTTATGTCCGAGGCTCTTAAGTCTTTTCCATGTCCCTTCTGCAGATCTTCTTCTTGTTTATACCTGCACTTTTCCTTGTCTTTTGTTAATTTTCTTAATTTCTTAATTTCTTAATCTCTTTCTTAATTTCTTTCCTTTCTCATTGAGGAGTAGGTCTCGAGGAGACTCCAGCCCAAAATTATCTCCATCTCCCCTCAGCAGATCAGCCCATTCCCCACAGTCCCACTCCCCACAGTCAGCAGTGTAGTCCAGAAAATATTTAAAAGCATATTTCAAAGTCCCTCCGAAATTAAGAGCCCCCACAACTCCAGACCCCCCCCGGCCCACTCCAGATTCAATCTTCAAGAACGGCGGCTTATGCTCCTGCAGGGCCTCGGGTCTCTCCATTTGTGTTACTTGAGGTTCAACAGCAACCTCCTCCATTATCTTCTGCACTTGCACTTGCCCTGTCAAAACAGGTTCCTGAGTTGGTTCCTGAATGGTTTCTATATGGGTATTCACCGTTTGTCCAAAGTTTTTAACTGCAACAGTCATCAAATCCATCTTCTCATGCATCTGCTCCAACAAAGTGCTTGTCTTGCAAAAAGCAAGCACCAAAACTACTTCTAAACACATTTTTTACTCAAGGTCAGAGTCTGGTCCCACGATCCTAATCTCCCAGCTGTGAAATCCCCAGATCGACTCCAGTAACAATTTAACAAGCTCCCTCTAGAGGAGACAATTTCTATTTGTATCCATCTTTTAAAAGCAGGTCCAACAAAAGAAAATTACTTTCATTTTCAAATATTTTGTTTCTTTTGAATGCAAAAGGCAACATTAGAATCAATTTGTTTCTCTTTTTTAGCTATCTGTCAAAGATGTTCCATTCACAGTCAATGAACTTCCCCAAAAATTTCTGTCTCTGGCACCCCGTTCCCAGGTTTGAGACGGTGGAAATTTATCTTTCTTTACTCTCTCTCCTGCAGGCTTGAACAGTCAAAGTCCCCCCCCCTTTTCTCCTGCTTCCAAGGGGGGTTTTGGTGGTTATAAATGAAGGAAATTTAGACCTTTATATACGACTTTCCAGACTTTAGCTTGCAAGGTTTTTGCTTCAGTCTATTTACAAAAGCGGAAGGCGGACTTCCTGTTTTGAGCCTTCCCGCTTCGGTGCCAAATTAAAATGTTTCTTTAATCCAATTTTCCGTTTCTACTCACGGGTACTTGTTTTAGAGTCCAATTGTCCACAGGAAAAAGTCAGCGCTCTCCGGCAACGGCTGTGCGGCTTCACTCCGTAAAAGTAGCGGTCGATTCAAAACACCGCGCTGCTCACCCCACGTTGCTTCGGATCCCCAAGAAAGGGTTTCCCTGCGAGTAGGGGAGGCGCTCCTGGTGTCAGCCGAATCCCACGTTCCCAGACTTCCTCCGCCTGGGATTTTTAAAGGGTCTCCGCCTTTGCCGCGGCGGCAAGACCCGAT